ATCCTTAGCCCTAACTAGCATGCAATTCTCAGAATCATATATCAGGCACACAAGGCATCCTCCTAGATCCTTAGTCATATTCTAGCATGCAGTTTTCTGAATCAAAACCATATAGCATAACATATCAAGTATGGGTATCTTGGGGAAAACTTACCTGAGCCCGTCCGGTCGCATGCCTCACACACTTCGTCTTTCTTAAAATCCATCCATTTAGATTTTAGAAAACCATTTTTCCTTCTAAAAACCTTTTAGCCCCTCAGTTTGAGTCCAGACACCCCCGAGGGTGTGTCCGAATCCCTCAAACCAGGGCTCTGATACCAACTTGTAACATCCCAATTTTCGGGTCGAAAAATTTCTTTTTAATTAACCAACACATAAAAACATTCATAAGAAAATACTGTGAAAACACATCATCTCATAAAACAATGTATCATGTCTGAAAACCCAAGCCATAGAATAATAACATATCAGAGTACAATCCCAGAAAACTCCATGCGGAAATCATATGTGTGTGTGATGCGATGCTACGCCGCCGACTCCTTCCCCTTAGACGAAGAGGTACCTGAAACCAAAACCGAAACCGTAAGCACAAAGCTTAGTGAGTTCCCCCATCATACCACATACCATACAATATCATCGGTATCTCTCAACCGGTAATCATCATCGGTATCTTTCAACCGGTAACCAACATCGGTATCTTTCAACCGGTAATCGTCATCGGTATCTTTCAACCGGTAACCATCATCGGTATCTTTCAACCGGTAACCATCATCGGTATCTTTCAACCAGTAACTGGGGACTATTCCACCCCCTACCACTAGCATATAACAGCAAGGTACAATCATACAGTCAGGCATATCCAGGTACTGACCTACCCCACGACCCTAAGGGCCGCTGTCAGGGATCCTAATTCCTATTATACACGTAACATATCATGCAGATAATACTCGTGACCAAAGCACATAACCAAACCAAGATAATTATCACAAAGACAATCATCTTACAAATACTCCTCTTTGGTGGGCCGGCATTGTGGCCTTAGACCCACCCCTACTGGAAGGTAACTCACCTCAATGTCGTGCAGTGTTTGAATTATCCTCGGCGCACAAGTCGACTCCCTTCGACTCCTCGATCCCTACACGACGAACTTCAAGTCAACACACAACCAGTACAACCCTAAACAGGGTCAGTCTAAGTCTAGTCAAAGTCAACTTCAAGTTGACCCGACTCGCCGAGTTGGGCCGTCAACTCGCCGAGTCCCTCACCCTTTACTCGTCCTTATCCATGACCCGACTCGTCGAGTTGGGCCGTCAACTCGACGAGTTCCTCCCTCACATGAACATCGCATGAAACTCATCCGACTCGCCGAGTTGATGAACAACTCGTCGAGTTCACCTTCATCTGATGAACAAGTTCTGTCCTCGACTCGCCGAGTTGATGAACAACTCGTCGAGTTATCTTCATCCTTAAAAGATTGCCTTGGACTCGCCGAGTCTGTTCTAGCACTCGTCGAGTCCCATGAACTCCAGGTCTAAAATCACGTCCAATACATTGGGTAACTCTTCCTGTCCGATTACAACCCTTCTAACACTCAACTGGGTTCCTTTGACTCTCAACAGATATGGGGCTCAAAGCCTCGGAGTCGTCGAGTCCCAAGAACGGACTCGCCGAGTCAGTCATGTCCACACTCTAAATCCTTGATTTCTGATGTACAACCTTTGATCAAAAGATAGATCCAAGCTTCTATAATCGATCTAGCACATAAAGTTACAAACTTTACGTGCTTGCATGGGACTTTGAGCTCAAAAAGACATAAAACAAGCTCTTAAGATGCATGGGGCCTTTCATGGGTGCAAAAGCAGTCCCCAACTGCCTTGTGACTCCTTTAATGACGTGATTCCGAAGCTCTAACCCCCAACCATGTTTGCAATCATGGTTGGCCATCAAAAGTGGCTTATAAAAGCCCTAAATCTCCCCAAGGATCTAACAAATGAAAGAGCAAGGTTACAGCTTTTTACCTTCAATGAACTGTAGAAGGTGCACAAACTCGGGTTCCCTTGGTCTTTACTTGCTTCCTCAAGCCTTTCTCCTTCCTTCTTAAGACCACAAGCACCAAAATCCACCAACAAGGCTTAGATTGCTTCAATAACGGCTAGGGTTTCAATGAGAGGTGTTCTGGGAGCATAAGGGACGTTGTGGCCGACATAACATTATTTAAATAGGGTGCAAACCCTCGGATTAGGGTTTTTGTTCAGTCAGAGTCTACTCGTCGAGTCCGGGACCCGACTCGACGAGTCCATCACTTAAATCCCGCGCCTCATCCCGCTTCTACTCGGCGAGTTGGTCCTTCAACTCGCCGAGTCCAAGGCCAAAAATGCAAAAATACTTAAATAAAAATACATACCAAGAATCAGGTGCTACATCTTTGGTTTCATGCTAATTACATATACCCTAGAAAACATAAAACAAAGAAGAAAACATACCTCTTATGTAGCTCTTGATCTCCATGGTTGAGATCTTGATCCTCCATGAAGTTGCTTGGATGAGAGGACTCTAACCAGAATCCCTCTAATGGTATCACACCCAATGACACCAAAAAGTGGAGTAAAAATAACTAGGAGAATGGTCAATTTCACAAACCTAAAGAAGTTAGAAATTGTCCCTATGGAAGGAGGAAGAAGGGTTGGCGAAACTTCAAGCCAAGGTGCAAGGAGGAATGAAATCCCTAAGGCCTTATTTATAACCTTGGATGCCTCCCTAGGTTTTGTACTCCTTCCCATGTGGGACGAGAGCATAACCATGAAATTTCAGTCCTTTCCCATATGGGATGGAGTGATTTTCATCCAACCCTAATCCCATAAGGATTTTGGAACAATCCTGATTAACCAACTATCGATTAATGAATATTCAATCCATTAATTAATTAAATTGTTAATTAAATCCCAAAATATATTTCCAATTAGTTTCTAATTAGTTATTAACCATAATAATTAATAAATCAATTTCTCCTTTATTTATTCTACTTAATTTGGGTCTTGAGGGCAACCCAAAAGGACCATGTTATTATTAGAAATATCATCAATAGTTAATGACCTTGGACACTCTTTCCAACATATATATATATATATTAATATATATATATATATATATATATATATATATATATATATATATGAACATTCAAATATGCATACATGCACATTTGGAGAAGATTTATGGTTTTGGTTTTGAACACTGATAAGCAGATTAAGAGCTTTTAAGTTCTCACAATAACATACCCTGAACACCGGTTGCCTTTCTTTTACTAAAATGGATTCGATTCTTACACCCTCAATCTCTTGTGTTAGGTTCGATTCCTCCTTCCTACATTTATTATGAATCAAATCTGCAGTTTCGTGTTTCAATTATAGCTTCACCATTTCTATGTACGTGAAATTCAAAAGTCGTTTCGCTCAAATTATCACTAAATTTTATAGATGCATGAAATTAAACGGCAAATTTAGCTTTTATAATCGTTGAAATAACAATTTGGAACATTGCCTAGGTGAAAGCAATGCTCCAGAGTATTAGAGTATTTGATGGCAATGCTTTTAATTGTCATCATTCATAATCCATTTGCTTGCACTTGGCTCATCTTAAAGTTATTGGTTTTGTTTGGTGTGCTTGTCTCGATCGGATCCCTTTGGCGCTTGCGTTTGCTCGCAGGGGAATTCATATTTCTTCTCTGAATTGTTATTTTTGTTCTACTGGTGTGGATGAGTCGAATCATCTTCTGGTGGGCTGTCATTTCGCTAATGAAGTTTTGAGGTGGATTTTCCAATGGTGTAACATTCGAGCTCAAAAATTTGTGATGGTTAGTGAGCTAGTGGTTTTCGTGGCGGATTGGGTGCGATGTCCAAAGAAACGTCATCTTTTTCTGGTCATCATATATGGTTTCTTATGGTACTTCTGGAAAGCTAGAAATGACTTGATTTTCAAAAATATGAGAACTTCCTCTTCGAAACTGGTGGATAACATTATCACTTCGGTTTTTAGTTAGGTTAAACATAAAGATCATTTTGGTGTTTGTAATTAGACAGACCGGATTTGCTCCCCATTTAACATTATGTAATTGTTTTTCTTCCTGCCATGTCTTACGGTTGATTGGCGGTGACTTTTAATATATTTCCGCAATTTCCAAAAAAATCATTCATAATTCATTTGATTTTTGCAACGAATTATATAAATAATCCGTTGCTAAATCCCACAAATCCATCGGTGCCATTCATAATCATTTGATTTTTATCCATCATCGCTATTCATAATCCATTTAATTGGGGCCCCAGATTCAAAGTATTCTTGTAATTTTGAAACAATGGTGTTACGGTCAATCTAAAATGTTTACAATTAAAAGGATTTTAAATAACAAAAACTGATTTTAATATGTAAAAAAGTAGGTTTTCACAAACATTATATTTTGGAAGCTTATAAAAAAATATATATGGTACTTATATATTAGGTTGTGCCGTTGTGCAAACAAAATACATAATACAAAATTGTCCAATTTTATTTTCCTGTCTAGATGCTATTTATCATTCAAAAAATTAAATAAAATATAAAGATCTAGCAAATGCTTGATGTCATAGTAGAATAAAAACACATTAAATTTACCTACTAACATCTAGTTAGTTACTAAATTTTAATGAACAATTAATACACATAGTTTGGTTATAGGTTGGTTTCTCACTCTAAATTGATAACCAAATTAAATGACTCGGTTTTAAACCAGTCAAACACATTGATTGGATCTTGACTGATCGTGTAGTACCATAAAACTCTAAAAAAAACTTAAAAGAACAACAATTATAAAATCATCCCAAAAAACATGTATAAAGATCAAAGTAATATGCAAATATATACCAAAATTCTTCTCCAAAAACAAACCATAAGTGCAATAATAAGTAATTAAGTATAACATTTGCACTTTATTCCATAACCTTATGTTTATAAATCCAAAATCTTTACCTCTTTATCTTTCTATTACTCTTCTTCGGACCATGAACCTCCATCCGGCCAACGGAACACCCACACCTTGATCGGAAAACCAGAATCACACGGCCGTTAGTCGGTGCCATCTTCTTCAACTCCGCCTCTAATTCCCGGTGGTAATCCCTCGGTAATTCAAACAATCCCGTCTTCAATCCGCACTTTACAGAACTGGAATTGGAATTGGAATTGGAATTCTTGAAAGATTCTTCTGTTTCAATTTGGATATCGAATGCGGCTCCATTGTTCAACCCACGACAACCTGGTTTACCACATTTGGGATTTGTGCATAATGTCATGGCTAACACCGCCATTGATGTAGTCAAGATGGTTAATCCTAAACACATGTAAATCATTGGAGCGCTCATGAGTTCTTGTTGAATCACGATCATGATTGGGGTAAGGGTTTCGAGAGTTTTGGATAATAAGAGGGTTACATAGGGGTGGATTAAGAATCCACAAGCACCGATTACAGCGATTAAAATAATCAGATCGATGAACGCTGATCGAGATTGTTCACAAGCTGAAATTGGTATTTTCTTTGATTGATTACTCTGTTCGAATTTAGCCATCTCGACTGGAATTGAGCTACGTGAATCGACCATTTGGATGAACAATTGAATCGAAATTAGATGGAGACGTGAAAAACTAGTTCGAATTATGAAACAAACCGACCAAATTGAATCGAACTCGAATCATCCCAACATGAAAAATCGAGTAATTATACAACAGAAGTAACAGAATTCACCTGAGAATCGAGATTTGGCGATGTGTGGTGGGGAAATTAATCGGATATATGAACCATATCGAATTCGCTCAATTGAAAAGCGAATTGATGGTAAATCGATAAGAATTAAAAGGGGTTTGAAGGATTATGGAGATAGATGAGAGTAAGGTGTGTGTGTATTGATTAATGAGGTGGGGGAGGAGGAGAGTCTCACACGTTAAGTAAGACTAAAAGCCAATAAACGCCATTGCTGCGTATGTTGGAGGTCTGGACGTGTGTAGAGTTCTACTTCTGACTTCTGCGTGTGGGCTGGGATGTAATATGGGCCCACTGCCGAATTTCAGCCTGTTATTTTTTTCTTCATGAAACACTTTAACTTAAAAAAAAAATCAAGAAAAACGATCTTTTTTTTTTTAAGAATAAACTTTTAATACAACAGTTACTTTGAATAGTTTTTCAGAATCTTAGGTTTTATGGGTAAGTCATTTGACATATTTTATCACTATTAATCTTTATTAGTTTTCATAAATTCTGTTTTTAATATTTTACTTATTTTAAAATTTGTTCATTAGTTATGTAAATAAAATTCAAGGCAATTTTTATAGTTCATGTATATTAAAGGTGGCAATTGGTTGATTTGAGTTGTGTTCGGGTTCAACCCATTATATATATATATATATATATATTATATATATATATCTTATAATATATATATATATATATTAAATCCAATGGACCTTATGAATAGTAATCTTTTTTGCTTTAGGTTTTTGCCACAAATGTTTGATCAATTTGACATTTTTAGTCTCGAAGTGAAAACTTTTACATTTTTAAGTTTTAATTAAGTTTTTGTGCCTTTAGATTTTTGCCACAAATCTTTAGTGACTTTGACACTTTTCGTCCTTGCAGTCAAATCTTTTATATTTTGATGTTTTTGCTATAAATTTTTAGTGACTTTGACACTTTTCAACCTTGCAGTCAAAACTTTTACATTTTGACATAAAAAACACAAAAAACCTCCTTTAGACTTTTGCCACCATATTTTTCCAACTTTGGCAACTTTTACATTATAGCCACAACATTTTTGGTTTTTCTCCATCAATGTTCTTTCTTTTTGTTGTACACTTTTGAAATCTAATTTTAGGGGGTGTCGGTTTTCTCCCTTATTTGTGGCGATTTACACTTTCAATACATATTTTAAAGTTTGCCGATATTTAACTTCTATGACATAGTCCAAAAGCGGCGGAGCCGCGCGTCCTTTTCTAGTTTAATAATTAGATTGAAAATTTCAACCCAACCCAACCTGTTTATTTAAATGGGTTGATATTTTCAACCTAACCCAACCTTTTAGAAAAATGGGTTGCCATCGGGTTGACCTGTTTATATAATTCCAGACCCAACCTATTAAATAAATCGGTTAAACTGGGGTTAACTCATTTAAAATCAATTAAATAAACTATATAATTAAGTATTATACAACTTAAATTACAAAACGTAAATAAAACTTCATAATTATGACAAAAGCACAATCATAATTCATAAATACAAATAAATTGTTCAAACAACATTAAAAATGTTTAGTTTCACAGTCATTTTGGAGAGTAACCAGTATTATCGGCACTAAAAAAGGATGAAAATTAAGATTGAATTTTATTAAACATAGATAATAATAATGCAACATTATAATTTACAAATTAATACTTTCATATATTCAAATAATTATTAAATTATATATATATATATATATATATATATATATATATATTAAAGTTAAATGGGTTGACGGGTTGAAAACGGCTTGATAATTTTTACCCAACCCGCTAATTTGGGTTGGGTTCGGGTTGGATTGACAGGTTGGGTCATTTTTGACAGCTCTAATATATATGGAGTGTTTGGATGTGATGTTTGAAATGATTATTGCATATTAAATAAACCCAACCTAGATATAGTGTTTGGAGATTTTTTTTTTTAAATTGTAATAATCATATAACTAACGCTTGATGAATTTTGGTTATATTATATAACCTTTACGATTTGCAACGACTTTCAGGTTATTATCTATATATAATAATGAGTGGAATATCGAACACAAATGAAGTACAACGTAGTAGGTTACTAGGTTAAGACTTAAGAGTACTCTTGTTGTTTGGAGGTCCGGAGTGCTGCTCATTCCACGCATGGAATGCTGAGGTGTACACCTTGGAGACACGTGAACACCGCCCCCAAGATGGGGGGTTGGGTGTGACGTAGTTCGGTGAAGACGACCAATAGGAAATAAATAGCAACAACAACCTCCCTTTCATTCTAATATGGTTTTATTATTCTATGCTTTTAAAATATATATTTATGTTATAAATTATTTTTTAATTAATTTAATGCTAAAAAAAATAAAAAAAGAATATTGTGGAGTGGTAACCATTTTCAATGTCTACTGGGTTGGTGGTGGGTTGGGTGTGAAGCTGACGTGGCGCACATGTGGCAGCACTTTTTCGGTGGGGTGAGTGTGACCACTAGGGATGAAAGTGGGTTCAAACCCGGACCGGATGGACCCAGACCCGGAACCGGTTAACGGGATTTTGTAGAACCAGAAACCGGACCGGTATATTGGAACCGGTTCCGGTTCGGTTCCGGGTACGGTTCCGGGTAAAGTGGGTCTAGAACCGAAAAACCTGGAAATATCAAAGTGGGTAGGTTGGAACCGGATAAAGTGGTTTAGAACCGGAAAACCCAGAAAAATCGGAATTTTTTGGTAATTACTTACTACTTAGTGGGTTGAACTTCGAAAATTTTCATATTGATATCCCGACTTTGGGGGACTATAACTCATTGAATATGAAACCAAAATTAACAAAATTATAGTCTAAAATCATGTACAAACTCTAAAATACACTCTGGAAAAAAACTGCATGTCAATTCGACTTTAAACGAATGAGATATGTATGTGTTAACATTTTCACATAATACACAGTACAAAAACAAATAGTTGAAAAGTTGAAAATTTCCAGTTTTGATATCCTGACTTCGAAGGACTGTAAATCATTGAATGTTAAACCAAATGTAACACACCAAGTCAGGTATTAATTTTTAAACCTAAAATAATTGATTTAATTAGCTAATGGTTTCCTTTGGGTACGCTGGGCGTACCTAAGGGTACGCTTAGCGTACTAGGATGAATGGATCGCGAAGGAACTTTGCGTACGCGGGGCGTACGCAACAGAGGACCGAAACCCTAATGTGCGGTCTTGCCACCTATTTAAACACCTTTAAGCCTTTGGACCCAACCTTATTCGCCTCTAGAGCCTCATTTTCGTCCCTCATCACCTGAGAACCTTTGTGAGAAAGAGTTTGAGCCTAAGAAGTGGGTTTTGTGGTCTTTGTAGAGTTCATTCAAGAAGAAGGAGATCCTAAGCAACCTTGGAGTGGCTTGGAGCTTCAAGATTCTGCACTTAGTTCACCTTGGAAGGCTTCTGGAGGCATAAAGTCGTGACCTTTCCATCTTGTTCTTTAGATCTAGTTAGGGTTTCCATTTTGTCCCCTTTAGTTGGATCTAGACCTTCTCTTGGATGTGAAGCAACTCCAGAGACTAAGATGTCCAGATCTGAGCTTTGTAAGCATGCTAAGTGCATAAAGTTTCTAGCTTGGTGGGTATTAAGACTCCATGCATGATTTGAGAGCTCTTACTTAAGGTCTTAGAGTGAGAAATGAGGTTTTGAGGTCCTTCATAGCATGCAAGGTCATAAAGTTGCCAACTTTATGACCTAGGTTGTTAAAATGTGCTCATATCTGATTTTGGGACGTTGAACCATCGAGTAATAAGCACTTAATGGAAAGAGAGCTTAATCTGTTCCTAAGCTGGGCGTAACATAGAGAACGCTGCACGTAATGCGCAGAAGCCCGGTACGCTGCGCGTACCATGGTGGTACGCATGGCGTACGCACCTCTGATGGACTTGGACTTGTTTTGGGCCCATAAGCCTTTTGGGCCTTAACCTATCTTTGGGCTTGGCCATAATTCGAGTTAATGGGCCAATTGATCAGTCTTGGGCCGAAAGTATTATAGTTGGGCCTTGATGGGCCATGTGGCCCATTAATAATTTTGAACATGGACCTTGGGGCCTATTAGCCAAGGAAGACTCTTGGGCCATTAGGAAAGGACTTTGGGGGTTGAATTTTCAGTTGGCCATGATCAACTCTAATCTTGGGTTAATATTGTTATTGTTCAGCACTAGTGGTTTCGGGTTGATAGGAGAGCAGCTTCCAGACTTAGCAGACGAGGTGAGTCTCCTCATCATATCAATGGGTCTAAGGCACCAAGGCCGGCCCATTTCATGATATGTAGTATGCTAGGCATTATGTGTTATATGGTATGCTCAATATGTCTGTGATAGATGGTATGCTAGTTGTTTCTGTGTTATTTGCATTGAAGACCATGGGAGAGCCCATGGCATCAGGATGTAAGACCATGCGGAGAGCCCATGGCTTTCCTACCAAAGACCATGGGAGAGCCCATGGCACTTAGGTGTAAGACCATGCGGAGAGCCCATGGCATCCTGGAGTAAGACCCTGGGGACGGGCCCAGGGCATCCTTATCTGTCGTATGTGTAGCTTGTATGAAATATGTGAATGACCTAGTTGCTATGACATGTTATGTGTGGGTATGCTCTGGGGAACTCACTAAGCATTAGCTTACAGTTTGTGGATTGTTTCAGGTACATCTGAGCCCAAGGGCAAGGGCAAGGTGTGATGGCGCAGCGTGCACTCTATCTCTCTTTTACTACTATGTCTTGGGACACTCTGATGATTTAAACCTGTTGTAATAATTGAGGATTTGGAAACAATTATGATGGGATTTCATGGTTTATGCAAATATGTTTATTAA